CTGGAGGAGCCTCAGGATGGCCTGGATGAGTGTTGGGATCTCCTGGATGAGGGCTGGGATCTCCTGGATGAACGTTGGGATGGTGGGATGAGCCTCAGGATGTCCTGGAGGAGCCTTGGGATCTCCTGGATGAACGTTGGGATCTCCTGGATTAGTGTTGGGATCTACTGGATGAGCCTCAGGATGTCCTGGAGGAGCCTGGGGCTGGTGGGATGAGCCTCAGGATGTCCTGGATGAGTGTTGGGATGTCCTGGAGGAGCACTGGAATGGTGGGATGAGCCTCAGGATGTCCTGGATGAGTGCTGGGATGTCCTGGAGGAGCACTGGGATCTCCTGGATGAGCCTCAGGACATCCTGGATGAGGGTTGGGATCTCCTGGATGAGCCTCAGGACATCCTGGATGAGGGTTGGGATCTCCTGGATGAGACTCAGGATGTCCTGGAGGAGCCTCGGGCTGGTGGGATGAGCCTCAGGATGTCCTGGATGAATGTTGGGATGTCCTGGATGAGTGCTGGGATCTCCTGGATGAATGTTGGGATCTCCTGGATTAGTGTTGGGATCTCCTGGTGAGCCTCAGGATGTCCTGGAGGAGCGCTGGGATGTCCTGGAGGAGCATTGGGACCTCCTGGATAAGTGCTGGGATCTCCTGGAGGAGCCTCAGGATGTCCTGGGGAGCGCTGGGACCTCCTGGAGGAGCGCTGGGACCTCCTGGAGGAGCGCTGGAATCTCCTGAATGAGCCCTGGGATCTCCTGGGATGAGTGTTGGGATCTCCTGGGATGAGCGTTGGGATGTCCTGGGATGAGTGTTGGGATCTCCTGGATGAGCCTCCAGCCTCGCTGGGCCAGACCAGACGAGCCCTGGGCTACCACGGACCACCCTGGATCAACCTGGGGCTGATGGGACGGGCTTCGGGTCAGCCTGGACGAGCCTTGGGATGTGCTGGATGAGCCTTGGGATGTGCTGGACGAGCCTTGGGCGACTCCGGACCACGCTGGACGTGCCACAGGTTCCCTCTGGATGAGCCTTGGACCACCCTGGACAAGCCTTGGACCACCATGGATGAGCCTTGGGCCACCCTGGACGAGCCTTGGGCCACACTGGATCACACTGGACGTGCCTCAGGTCCCTCTGGAAGTGCCTTGGGCCACCCTGGACCACACTGGATGTGCCTCAGGTCCCTCTGGATGAGCCTTGGGCCACCCTGGCCAAGGCTTGGGCTAC